TTTGCATTATCATCCACGGGACCGCTTCCATTGTCGTTGTTGACAGGAGGGATATTTATGTTGACATTATTCCCTTCCCGTTCATTCTCATATTGATTCTGATTATGGTGTCGAGTGGGTTCTCCCTGGTGACTTGTCAGAGCCGCGATTTGCTGGTCATGCATCTCTCTCATCTGTTGCATGGCCATCTCCATCTCGAACTTGAAAGCTTCCTTCTGCTTAGTCAAGGCATCTTCAAGCATCTTGCTTACTTGTTTAGCGCTGATCATAAGTGATTCATAAGGCTGTCCCGCACTAGACGCCGTGTCATCGGATGCTATAGCCGAGCAGGAGTCTGAATCAGCCTCTGACACCTCTTCTTCCGAAGGAAGTCCTTTCTGCATTCTTTGGTAATTGCATCTCTCTCATCCGTTGCATGGCCATCTCCATCTCGAACTTGAAAGTTTCCTTCTGCTTATTCAGGGCATCTTCAAGCATCTTGGTTACTTGCTCGGCGCTGATCATGAATGACTCGTAGGGTTGTCCCACACTAGAAGCCGTGTCATCGGACGCTATAGCCGAGCAAGAATCTGAACCAGCATCTGACACCTCCTCTTCCAAAGGAAGTCCCTTTTGCATCCTTTGGTAATTCTTTTGCGTATTGATCCCTGATCGCGATCGAGTCACACGCTGTGATACTCCGGCAAATCGATCTGGGCCAAATTGTCGTATCGATTTCCCTCTGCCGGTCATATTAGCAGACACTTCTAGGTATTCATCCTCTTGTCGAACGAACTTCTTCCCACGAAAACGCCTTGGCTTGGAAATCCTCTCGAACACCGAGACTCTCTTTGGGGTTTTAGAACAGCAGCATTCTGACAACACCGCCTTGATGATGTTGGCACACGGGCAGTGAGACTCCGTGTCTTGAGCGCATCTCTTTCGAGACTTATCCATACCCCCAGCTCTATAGTACAACTCGTCAGTTTGATAACTGGAGCAACTCATAGAGTGTTGGCATGACTTCCCAGGTATAACACCATCATCATCAGACGAATGTGCTTCCTTCTGGGGACGCGACGCTTTATTAGCGTTTTCAAAAGTCGCGCGTTCAAGTTTACGCTTCTGCGAGCGTGAAAACTTGACGGGCTCTTGCACTTCGACCCGCAATCCAATGCGGTCGGTAATAGGGGCTTTCCCTCTATTATCTTTCTTAGGGGGATTGATACGACCCCCAGTCTGATTTGTCATTTGGGACCTTTCAATGGTCCCAATCGCTCCTTGACAGGTGCTTTACCTCGGTTCTCCGGTAAAGGACCGAGGCGACCTTTCAGAGGAACGCTGGATCTTGAAGAACCCACGTTCTTGCCTGGCTCCGTTGGAGGCGTAGGAACAGGAGAAACGAGATCTAGATTTGAAGAAGTTTGGGCGATAACTCCACCCACTTTTGTCTTAGGTGCCGGTTTTGACTTTGGTACCCAAACCCCTTTATGTGTAGACGGTTTCTTGACCGCCTCTTCTTTCTGCATCTCTTCTGCTTTCTGTAGAAGGATTCGGGCATGCGCTAGCAATGCGCGGCGTTTCTTGATTCGCTCTTCGAGAGTGGAGCGGGTCTTCTTAACGCGGACCCATTCGTTTGTCTCCGCCTTAGAGGAGAGGTTGTCGGTTCGCCGTTGTTGTTCTTGGCGCTGCCTTGATTTCAGGTCCTCATTGTAGTGGATCCCGTCCATCGATTCTGCGGCTTTGGCCAATTGTCGTGCAAGGCGTTGTCGTCGTCTTTGGCGCGCTCTCTTCGACAAAGTTGGAGCAACTTCAGCAGTCGCCTTTGTGGCGGAAGGGAGATCTGGATCTGCAGCCTCGACCTCTTTGGATGCCGCCGGGATGTCACGGGGCACGGGTGCAGCAGCGGCGATGGAATCTTGGATCTTAGAGCCGAAGGTCCCGCGAACGTCTTTGGAAGATGAGGTCTTCCTGCGCCTGTTTGGAGAGGCGGATCTGGAGGAGGAAGAAGAGAGGTACTCTTCAAACTTTTGTTGATCGAACTCGTATTCGATCTCTTCGTTCACCCGGATCTTGAATGCCGGTTGCGTCACGACGGTCTCGGCAATGAGGCCGTTGGCTCCCACTGTGGTCGCCAGCTTGTTTTCGTCAAAAGTTGCCTTCATCATTGATTTCATTAAAACTTCAAACGTTACAAATGAATTCAAATAATGAAAATAAAAATTACAACTTTCTTGAAAATAAACACAAGATCCGTTTATCGTCTCTTGCTTGCGTGGGTCTTTAGCCTGTGACGGGGACGTCGATATCCGTGAACTACCTGGCAATCAGATCTGATCCAGCAAAATCGGGCAGAGCTTCGTCGATCCGCGAGGAGATCTAGAAACTTGGAGCGCCTATCTCGGATAAAGCGAGATATTTGCTCTTCTTAGGATAACCGACGAGGGGTAATGCTAAGGAACGGATGCGGGTGATGTAGATCTGATGAAGAACTCTCTTGTGTTGAAGTGCTCGATCACTCTTCACTCCAGCAGGGCTTCGCCAATTCTCCAAAAATCCAGATCTCCAAAAGTGAGGCCTAAGGCTTCTATTTATAGGCGACACCCCTGGGGTGTCCTCAAAAATCTAGGACGCCCCTGGGGTGTCCCCAAAAATCTAGGACGCCCCTGGGGCGTCCCCAAAAATCTAGGACGCCCCTGGGGCGTCCCCAGAAATCTAGGACACCCCGCTGTAAATTCTTCGTCCGAACTCGGATTTTAGTGATTCGAATTGCGTTGGAATTCTGAGGAAGAGTTCTATCAGCCCCGATGGTTGGATTATCTGTAGAACAAACGAGACACGAAAGGCGTTGTTCTTTTTGTAAACATCGCGGGGCTCTCGATTAGCCTGTGCCTTCGTTATTCCGAAATTCTGTCAGCTCACGTAGTTCGTTGATTCACTTCAAGCGTTCACCGACGTCAATCGAACCCCTGTGAACCAGATAGTGACGTTCATTGTCGTTCCTTAACACTGAGCTGTTCGTGGAGACCTATAGGCAATTTTCGATGCCTACACTGGGAAAATCAATTATAGGGTCTGCGGTCGACCGGACAGAAATCCGAAAATTCATCCTGTAGTGTGCACGTTTGTCGGTCGACCGTAGCTGATCTCGCGGTTGACCATCAAGCTGCTTGACAATTTACTCCGCGGTCGACCGTCAAGCTGCCTAACAGTTTCCTGCTTATTTCCTGAGCTGTTCTTCGTCGTGTTCGTCACTTCTACACCGCTGTCATCCACTTTGTTCAAAACTGGTTTCAGTTTCAAGGTTGGTTTCATACAAATTACACTCTGTTCAAAACTGGTTTCAAACAAATTGCACTTTTGTCTTTTGTGCAAATTGTTTCAGTTCCTTCGTGTGTGTGTATCTATGTGCATGTGTGTATTTATATATGTAGTGAGGTGTCTTACTATCATTCACTCTTCAAACCATATGAACGTGGTCTCCAATTTGAATGAGTGGATGAAAAATGAGTTAATCTCATTACCAAGCACAGAAACTTGTGCTTAGTATCATGTTCCTCCATATTACTCTATACACACACAGATATATATACATATATAAATACACACACACACACACACACACATATATATATATATATATATGTGTGTGTGTGTGTCTGTTTTTTTGTGTGTGTGCGTGTGTGTATATATACACAGGTGTGTGTGTGTGTATGTATCCAGTTTGTGTGTGTTTGTGTGTGCGCGTGTCTATATATACACACACATGTGTGTGTGTATATATGTATCCAGTTTTAGAATTGAACCCCACATAATTGTGTCTCTGCTGAGCTGCGCAGGGGCCTTAGAATGAGCCTCACTTATGTTAATTTACTTTCATGTTGGTGGATATTTGTAAAATTTTGACTTTATAGACAGAAACTCTGCCGTATAAATTTGTATATTAGTCATTCTCACCCATTGTATTTGTTTATGTCAAAAAGTTAATTATATGGGTAAATAGATTTTTAGAAGAGTTTAGGATCCCTTTCCCTCTAACGCTCAAATTAGTGATAGCTTAAGCAAATTTGTTAAATGTAAAATATGGTTTTAGGGCATTGTTCAGTATTCTTATATACCTTGGGACAGTAGAGATTGCTTACTATTTACAGAGGGCCAATAAGAACACGTTGATAATTTGAGCGGGTAGGTGTAGTATCCAATTCCGAAAAAAGAATATCCAATTCAAAGAAAGAAAAATAAAACTACAGTTCGAGGTGAGCTTAAACTTTGATAAATTGATTGTTATTCTTGTTTATCATTAGTGGAATAGTGACCTAAGCCTAGCAAAGTGGTGACATATAATATGGGCCAGGGTAGAGCAGTGACGTTTTAGTAAAGTTTGTAAATATATAACTTAAGACAATGATATGCAATCCTCAACATAATAAGTGGAATATCCTTCTCTATCTATATGCAAAAAATATATTGTTGGATCTCACATTTTCTCTTTAAGAATTAGACAACTATTTTTCTAGATAAAGTCATTCACTTCAATAGAAATGACAGTTGTGACTATTTCCGGGTTTAGAATAAAAATGTGCGAAATACGCTAGGACTTTCATGTTATTTCAAAGGATATCAATTTAAAAGTTATATAAAATTATGATTTAGGAGGATACCCATCTATTTTTAAAGAGCAGAAAAAGAGTATTTCAATTTATAGTGAGGCAAGCACCTCGTGTACAGAAAAGTGGGGAAAGGAAGGGGGAAAAAAAACTCCAACCACGAAATTGGCTTGGCCCATTCATTTTCATATGGGAATCCAATCCTTGGCCGGTTCTCCAGCCGACCGAGGCAAATACCACAGGCCATCCCTATGACAAATTCAACAACTAAGTTGACATCAATTTAATTAGAACTTAAGAAGCCCACAAACTCTGACTTCCTTCTCTTGACCAAGCACTAATTGAGACTCCTTCAATGATCCCACTCTATAAGTACTTCACAAATATCCCTTCAATTGATCATCAGCCTCAAGCACTCTCTAGAAACACTTATCCTCGATTTCACTTAAACAATCAATTCCTCCCATTAATTAAGCAATGGCATCTAAAGCCATTGAAACCTACAGATCAGGTGCAGAGATCTTCCATGGAGACGCAGAATGCAAGAAGAAGATCATCGGATTGCTCGAAGAGCTCTCCCTTCCAAAGGGCTTGTTCCCTATGGAAGATATAGAGGAGTTTGGCTATAATCGTGCAGCTGGATTCGTATGGATAACTCAGAAGAAGAGTAAGAACCACACTTTCAAGAAGATCAAGCGCCAGGTTTCTTATGCAACTGAGGTGACCACGTTTGTTGAACCTCACAAGATGAAGAAGATGGCCGGAGTCAAGACTAAGGAGCTTCTGTTGTGGCTCTCTGTTGTTGAGATGTATTTTGAGACTCCTTCATCAGAAAAGCTCACCTTTAAGACTGGCACTGGACTGTCTGATAGCTTTGAGGCATCTGCATTTGAACTTGAGAAATGAGAAAATTTGAGAAGAGTGTATATTTGTTTGATGAGTGTACCTCGTTTGGAGTGACAAATCATGTTAAGTTTGACAAATAATGTTTTGAGTTTCTTCAACATGCCCCTCTCCTAATTTTTTACCTAAGTTAATCTTGTTATTCAGTAAATTTTACATGTGTTGTAGCATACATCATGGACATTGACAATGAGCTGACTAATTTCCATTCCACGGGTTTCTTATTTCATTTTGGTTTTTTTTTCTTATATTAACCACTTCCACAAAAAATCATCTTAAAAAAATTACCCACTTGACCATTTTTTTTTGATCAAGTTCTAATTGAACACATGGTTTTTCTAAGGGCATTTAGTAGATTTAAATCAAAATTTTGTGCCAGAATGTCCCATTGAATGTTTTTTATGCTTAATTGTGGAATTTTTAGCTAATCGGACGACACAAATGGTTAGCCATTATTTCACTTGGCTCCCTAGGCATACTATATAATCTCAATAATATATTGTCATATAACCAACACAAGATTATCAGTGAGGCCTCACACAATCACCCCGCCTTAAATATGTGATCTTCTCATCATGGCATGGCAATGGCCCATCATAGTAAACTGTGTTCCCAACATTGATGCGAAGTTATTTATTCATAGATGGTTCTTATTGCTGCTCATTATAATGGTACAAGAATATTTATTAATTAGGGATGGAAGATTCAAATTACAGAAAATGTATAACAAGGAGAGGGGAGAAGAAGGAGAAGATTTGGATGTGAAGGAAGCATGTCCGGGAAACAGTTAGAAGATATTGACTTCAAAGTAGAAGTCTAATTATTGTTAGATTGAAGGAACAATATATCTTCTAATAGAGTCTACTTGTGTTGTTCCTAATTGATCTTAAGCCTCTGTAATTATGTTTTTTGTTCCCTTTTTTTGGAAAAATTGTGTTAACACCCCAAAAATAAAAAACTTGATGTGTTCTAGCCCCCTGTATTATTTCTAATATGTATTAGCCTCAAATACATAGGGTATATGTGATTCAGCCCTTATTTACACCTCCCAAGAAAAAATTCAAGAAAACCGAAAACTACCCCTCTTCTTCTTCTTATCATCCACCTATCTTATTTTCTCATGGAGACTACAACTCTCTCCTCTCCTCTTCTTAAGTGGTGAGGTTGTTCGAGGGATAGGGGAAGGTGATGGGGATAAAAAGAGGGAAGGCGAGGCGGTGCTTAAATTGTTGAAGTTTATCCTAATTCTAAAATGATTTGAGTTAGTTATCTCTAGGAATTATAGTCATACTAGAATTCTATTATGAAACACTTTATTGTAGGCTATCTAAAAATTACTACAGATAGTTGGTCCCCATAAAACACCGATGATGGAAGTTACAATCTGACGACTTTTACATCAACCGTTACAATCTGACGACTTTCACATCAACTGAGGAAGGTTACAATATGACGATCTTCATGAAACTAGACGAGAGTTACAAATTGACGACTCTCATGTTTTCAAGAGCCAAATACAAGGATTACAAGATGACGATCCTTGCAACGCTCTAACAAAAGAGATTAAATTGATGATCTCTTTAAATCAAAACACGAGGGTCATCCCCGCATCTCGATCTCAAAACGCAAATCTCACCCCAGCGTTTGACACTCCAAACACGGAGCTAACAACTGCATTTTATAGGCTAAACGCGAGGGTCACTCCATAATACGAACCTCACATTTGACTAATTCAAACACATTTTGAACATTTCCAAAACCGTTTTGCACGTAATGAGCATTGGATATCTTGTCCCCAAGATATAATTTTGATTATAACAATTTATTTACACTACTACAGATTTAGGCTTAGGAAACGCCACTTAGATAGCGCTTTTTAAAAGCGCTATCTAAGTGGCTCACTACTACAGATTTAGGCTTAGGAAACGCCACTTAGATAGCGCTTTTTAAAAGCGCTATCTAAGTGGCTGCTTGAATAGCGCTTATTTGCATATTGCGCTTTTTAAAAGCGCTATCTAAGTGGCTGCTTGAATAGCGCTTATTTGCATATTGAAATTAAAAAAAATATTAAAAGAAAAATTACAACAATAGCGCTTGTTAGTTAAGCGCTATACCAGTTGAAGCTTCTTTAGCGCTTCAATAAAACGCTATATGATAAGTGTTACATGGGTTACTTGGATAGCGCTTCTAAAGCGCTATAGGACGATAGCGCTTCTAAAGCGCTATGTGAGTTGACTCCGGGTTCACTTCAATAGCGCTTATAAAGCGCTATGTTGTTATTCTCTTAAATAGCGCTTCATAAGCGCTATTACAGTTTCAAAATTAAAATTTAATTAATAAAACTATTATTCCTCCTAATAAGTTCAGGAAACCGCGCGCGCTTCCTCTAATATTTTACAAAACCGCGCGCTTCATCTAACCCAAAACCGCCGGTATTTCACCGCTCGTTCTCAAAATCCACAAACCCACAGAATCGCTGAACAACTCCACAAAATCGCCGCTCGTTCTCAAAATCCACAAACCCACAAAATCGCTGAACAACTCCACAAAATCGCCGCTCATTCTCAAACCCAAAACCGCCGCTCGTACGTTCGCCGGTCTTTCGCCGGTCTTTCGCCGGTATTTCGCCTGTCTTTCGCCGCCTCCTAATAATTCCATCAAAATCCCTAATTTTTGATAATCAATACTAAACTAAATTCTGAAGACAGAGATTTGTGTTTATAGGTGCGATTAGTGTTTCCAGGTGCGTTTTCATAATCAATTCTAAACTAAATTCTGAAAATAGATGAAGGGTTGGAATTGATTTCAATTTTTAGGCACAATATTATTTTTTAATTTTGATTTGCTTGGTCAATTACTGAAATTGATTTCGATTTTAGGGTGCTCATTTTTTTGTGCATTTTTATTCACTCTCTGGAATTCAAATTCGATTTTATGAAATTCATTATATTTTCATCATCTTTAGAGCTGGCAAAATAGGGATTTCGGATGTGATAATTGCTTTCTAATTTTAGGTTCAATTGCTTTCTGATTTTCGTTCTTACTTTAGGTTTAATTTCTTTAGTTCCAACTCGGGATTATCTGTTTTGATTTTGTGGTGTTTAATTGAGTTTGTGTACTTTAGATTTTGATTTTAGGTTTAATACTTGTGTACTAAAAGAAGCCTAGAAGAGCATGAAACTGGTTTGTGACTTATTGCTTTGTGACTTACTGAATTTATGTCACTGGTTTTGAATTAGGGTTGGGAATCCATTATTCGAGCTGCTGAAGTCGTGCAGAATTCTGCCAATTCTGTAATTCTGTCAATTCTGGAAGTTATCAGCCATAACTTAGAGAATTTATCTCCTTAATTCTGAGGTAAACACAATGCTCACAGACAAGAAAATCTTTTCTAATTCATTACACATTGGACTGGCATACTTTTTTGAGATAGAGTGAAAACTGGTTTACCTCCAAATTGAAGAAACGTAAGCTCACAATAAGTTAAATTACAGGATTGAAGAAGGGGGGTTTAAAAAAAAGGAGGTTTGATGGGTTGAGTTTTTGTCTGTGTAAATTTGTAGAATCTGTTTTTGTAGAATCTGTTGTATTAGTAGTGCTGATTCCAAGAAAACTCAATTAATAATTTAAAATTCCTTCATTTCGTTGGAACAAATCCACCTTGCATGTAAATAATAATCCTAGTATGGTTATATTATATATATATGTATATGTATGTAAATAATAATCCTAGTATGGTTTTGTTTGGGCGTTAAATGTAGTAAGTTTGAAAATCCTTGCAGCAGTACTTATCTAAAATTTTCACAGCTTTCTCATAGCGTTAAATGTAGTAAGTTTGAAAATCCTTGCAGCAGTACTTATCTAAAATTTTCACAGCTTTCTCATAAACGTAGTTATTCTTCACAATAACAGATGGTTTACCTCTCTCTCTTTTGATCTTGTAGTATTTTTGTAGTATTGTTTTCGATGGATCGAGACTGGGTAAATGCAGATCGATTATCTGAAGAGTATAAGAAAGGGGTAGAAGTGTTTTGTGCTCATGCAACTAAGAATGCCAAAAATTCGATGTTCATTAATTGTCCATGTCGAAAATGTCTAAATGTCAAAGAGGTTAGGGGTCAAATGGAGTTGCGTGAGCATTTAATGTTTCACGGTATTGACAGAACATATAAGGTTTGGACATATCATGGTGAGAGCAAAGGTAAATGTAGCTCAAGTGGCAAAGGTAAATATAGTTCATCAACTCAACTAGGCTCGCAATTTGAGTTTTCAAATATAATGAACACAAGTAGTATGAGAGCTGGTGATGATAAATCTAGTGGGATGAATAATTTCACAAGTGTTGTCAATGAAGAGTTGCGGGATCATCCTGATATGTCTGATGACTTAAGGGGGGATGCTGGGCTACCATTGTGGCCGGGTTGTACCAAAGCTTCAAAGTCGTCGGCTGTTTTGATCTTGTACAACTTAAAAGCTAGTCACCAAGTTTCTGATGTGTTCTTCACAGAGATGTTAGAAGCCGTAAGTGGACTCTTGCCAGATGGGAATGTGCTCCCTCGTAGAGCATATGATGCTAAGCAATTGCTCAAATATGTCGGGTTAACACATGAAAAGATCCATGCTTGTCCGGATGATTGTATTTTATTTAGGAAAGAGTATGCAGAATTGAGTGAATGTCCCAAGTGTAGTAAGAAGCGATATAAGAAAAACAACTCCCCAGCCAAAGTTATGTGGTACTTTCCTATAATTCCTAGATTTAGGAGGTTGTATAGTAGCACAGAAGATGCTAAATACTTGACATGGCATGATGATGAAAGAATTAAAGATGGAATGTTAAGACACCCAGCTGATTCACCCCAGTGGAAGACATTTGATAATAAATATCCAGAATTTGGTAAGGAATCAAGAAACTTGCGCTTAGTACTTTCAACAGATGGAATGAATCCTCATGGTCTTCAAAGTACTTCCCATAGTACATGGCCCGTGATTTTGATGATCTATAACCTGGCCCCTTGGTTATGCATGAAGCGCAAGTATATGATGCTGTCTATTTTGATATCAGGACCTCGGCAACCTGGTAACGACATTGATGTATATTTGGCTCCTTTAATCGAGGACTTAAAGTTGTTGTGGGAAGA